TGGTGGGTGGCTTTCCCTTTCGAAAAATGTCGAATTTTTCAAAATGTATTACAGTCTAATGAAAAGTCATGACAGAAAGAGAATTTTAGTGGTTTTAACTCTGCTCCTGACGGATATTTATACGAAGACACTTTCTCTCAGACAAAATATTACAGAAAGTCGATGACTGCAGTATCGTCTATTTGACCTCTGCTAGAAAGACGAACGAAAATACTTCCTGCTAAATTTACAGTTCTTGTCACCCTCAAATCTAATCGGGAATTGTAGTCTTGTTGTCTATACTACGATAATCTCGAAAGTATTATTTTTGTCGTTTGATTTAACCCATTTACGTCGATATGCATTTTTTGTGATAAACAAAGCTTGACCTCTTTGAATTTTTCAATGGTTTCTTGTTATAGGAACAGTTGAAAAAACTATCGTATTAATTTGTTGTTGCTGTTATTGTTATCATTGCACTTCTCACTTATTGTTTTTTGTCTCTTTTCTGTTTTAGCTCTTTATTCAAAAACATTAGATAAACAAGAATGACAACGCGTTCAGTGACGTGTGCGTTTGTGGATTGAATTATTTTTTTCTCTCTATTTTTCTGTGTTTATGTATTCTTTACTCAACTCTATATCGTGTATCTCGAAACTAAAACTATAATGATAGTTTTAAAATGTTAATCATGATGAGTAAAATGATGACGATATTGAAGAAACAAGCCAGATAATGTAAAACTTGTGCCGCCACATACGAATAGAATTGCAACACGAACAGCATCTGACTTAGTCTTATTGAAAGATGGAAGAAATAAGATGGTACCAATAAAATAAAAAACACCACCAATACCAGCAAAACCATCAACACCTAATGCTGGAATATCATTTAATAAATTTGATAAACGAAATCGACGATCATGTCGACCATGAATATTTGTACAAGCTGAACGATATACTTTCCAAGCTTGAGATAAATAAATGAATGCTGAACCAATAATAAAAAACCATTCACCAAAAATTAATTCTTCTTCGAACACTGGAATAAATAATATTGATCCAGCTAGATAAAATGCAGAACCACAAGCAGACATAAAAAAATTTATTCCTACTTCTGCTCGTTCATATCGACCAATTAATGTATTCCGTGGATTACGAAATAGAGTAGGATCATGAGTTTCTAATGCTATTTGATATTTACGATCACAAAAACAACCAACTCGATAATACCACCATTCTTGTAAATCAGCAAGTAAAAAGAAGAATGAACCAATTGTAAAAAGCCACCCACCAACATTCAATGCAGATGTATGTCTATTATAAACACTAGGAAAATACATACATGATCCAGTAATAAAAGTAAGACCACCAATCATGTAATGCGTTCCATGAAATGATCGCCATAATCGTGACTGTGGTCGTTCGAGAACATTACCAAATGAAAATTCAGCGAAAGGAGCTTCTTGGATCGTTAATGACATATTCACTTTGGTTTCCAAGGATTCGTGTAAAAAGATTTTCGTTTGTCTATTCTTTCGTGTTTCAGATATTTATTATTTACCTTTAAAAAGAAATACAAAAGCATGCGTAGATATGTTCCTTCCCTCGAGTGTCCAGGTTATATGATTCATATTAAAAAGAATAGAGAAAGGAGAGAGAGTAAAGAGCCAATGAATATGCAACGGTGACTTAGTAAACGTTAGTGTTTGTTTTTATCTATATGACCATCCTCTGATATTCAAATGTTAACAAATGACTAGTGCATATCTCTCAAGGACAGATAAAGAAAAAGATGCTTTTCTTTTGTGAATTAACTATGTGAGTAAAAACGTTGAACTATTTTGGGATAAAATAGAAGTATTTTGATTGTATAAAGAAAAATGTTAGCGCAATCCCTGTGGGATTAAAATGTGAAACACGATGTAGCTGCTGTTACTAACCACAAGAATATTGTTTTATTCGATCTATGTTAGAATTCATTTTTTTCTTACACTTTACTTAATCCTCTAGACTTGCAAGAAGGAAGCAGTTCATATATTTTCATAACATCTTAGCCATATATGATCGCTAATCGTGTATCAAAAACATCTATCATGGTCTGTAGAGGAGGCAGTTCAAATTTCTACTCCTATACATTTCAATACTCTTTTTATTTCGTGCTTCACAAAATATAGATCAAAACATCATCTATAACTATCATTCAACATAATGAAAATATTTTAACCTTTCATAATAAAAATGAAAATGTATTTATTAAGGTCTTTCTCACGAAGTTGAGTTTTTACTATTGGAAGATGCAGCGAAATTTCCTCTTTCAAAGTATATATATATAGATTTTCGGAAAAGAGTCAAATTTTAAGAGCCTTTCGAAGCTAATTTTGACCCCCACCAATATTTAATAATTTACAATTAAATTCTTTTATTTACTCGGTCTATCGAGTATTTTAAGGGTGACTCCTCCCCCCCATAAAAAAAAACATTTTTTCGAAGAAAAACCGAAATTGAGTTTTTTTCATAGAAATATGCACTGAAGTCTCCTCTTTCAGAATATGTATGATTTTTCAAAAAACGGTCAGGTTTTAGCCGAGTTATTGGTCAAAATTGGAGCTAATATAGTTTTTCGTGATTTTTCAATTTTTAAAGATTGTCGTTCCATTCACTTCATTATTGAATATAGCTTTTCTTATACTAACTATTAAGAGTCTACTAACACAGAAGGATTCCCTTAGAAAAATATTTTATCCGATAAAAACTATTTTTTTCTTCTAATACAATCTCAAAAACGAAGCCTAATCTACATCCTGGATAGGGAACCATGATCACAACTTTGACTAGGTGTGTACTGCTAAAAACACTATAATATATCCACCTACGTACCATCTAATAAATTTTGACGAATAATACGAAAATAGCAAGTAAAATAAGCAGACTTACTTTCATTACTCAATCAAAAATCTTCTTTTTCGTTTTTCTCAAAATCAGTTTTTTCGACCATACCGTTTACGCGGGCAAACCTTACGCCATAACGATTCAACATAAAGTTGTCATTGTTGTTTTGTTATATAAGGAACATATTAGGCTAGATCCTAATAGAGCCGGATTTTTTAATTTGTCCTTTGTTTAAATAAAAAGTTAGATCTTTGATTTTCGTTAGCGATTTTTCGCCACGAATTTGTGAACTTTTGGGAAATGTTTTTCTTTTAAAATTGAACAAAGGGAAATTAAAAAATCGGGCTCTATTAGGATCTAGCCCTAAATGTGCTCTACAATTTTAAAACCACCTCGACCTGTTTAGCTGAAGTCTTGACCATGAAAACCTTGCCCGCGTAAAGAGTATTTTTTTCAGTGAGTTGACCATAACTCGTGAATGCTTCGGAGATTTTGGGCGAAATTTTAACCCTAATCTACTCTAACTTAGACTAACATTCCCTGAAAAATTTGTTGAATTTCATGAAAAAATAAAAAAGTTTGTCGATAACGGGGGGGGGGGGTCCCCTTGATACATGAAACTCTCAAAGCTTTTTCGAGCATTTACTATTATTGATATTTTAAGTTTTACACTGGTCAGCGTTTCTATATACTTCAAAAGCAATGCATAACTTAGTTTCAGTTTTTCAGATGTAAGTTCTACTAGATTTCGATATTAACTTTAAGCGCTTGTATACGACGTTCTAAGTCACTTTGTCTGTAAAATTTGACTGTCGATTTATGATACTCCAGATCGTTGTTCATATTATCTTGTAACATTTAAATTTTGCTTTTCCTTTGCAATGATATACTATCAGGATTATAATTATCAGCAGAATGTTCATTGTTAATATCTATTGATTTCTTGAGACTATCGAATACTTTTGTCTGAATAATCTAGTCATATGTATCAGCAAAAACTCGTAACACGTCACCTCTAATATTGGAAAATTAAAAAAACGAATTGTAATATCAATACTTTCGTCCTATAGGGTCTTGCTCAAAGTGAACAAAATTTCTTCTTTGCTCTAAGAACAGGTGGCTTTGCTTGCATTTGCCAATCATTAGCAAAATTTCGATAGCAAAAAAGAGACCGTATTTTACTGATTTTCGTCATCGCGTTACGTTAATTAAACCAAAATAACGAGTCAATAAATGATCTTTTTGAAGCATTTTATTTTTTCATTGGATACTCCGTACTGTCGGCTATAAAGTTCTTATGGGTCGTTTTTTCCAATGTAGTGCGAATCCAGAGAAAAACAACGAACAGACACGTCACCCTCAACTTTTTGTCCAATGTTCATCATCGTGTTTTGCTCAGTATTTTTGCCAAAATTTTCAAACAACTAAGCCAAACGAACTCGAGTTTTCAGGAATTGCGACAGAGTAGAGAGGCGCATCATTTAATGAAAGAATCAAATTTCTAAATAGTCTAGTTTCTAAGAAAAATCGAAAAAACTGGAAAAAAACGTCATCGCGTCACGCTTGTGAAAGCCGATATAGAACATCATCATGTTAAATGGTATATACAGTTTAATTCTAGAGTTTATTATAAGGTATTTTTTAGAACACTTTATTTTTTAGAAGTCTCTGTCCGACATGTTTATAACATGATAAGACAGAAAAACTTTTTTTTGTTGTAATTTTTTTCAAAAATTTGATGAACTTAGTTTAATGATATAGCTATATTGAAGCAATAGAGAGGATATAGCTGTTCTCTGTTATTCATATTCACATCTATTTGACCTTTAACATATAGACTGAATATCAAAATGATACATTGAGATTGATCATCATTTGCTGTGTTTTGTTACCCCTGGTTGATGAATCATTCTTATCTATACTTTTATTTTTCTTTTCTAGTTATTATCAAAAGACTAGCGAGAAGCACAAATGACGTCATGCCAACAAAAAATCTCAGATTCTTGGTTTTTCTTATCATTTCAGATAATTGCTGTGCAATATTACGTATATAAATAAGTGTATACGTGCTTTTTCTCTTCTTTATTCATTTGTTTTTAAATATCTTACGATAATTACAAGCCTTCTGCTATGGCAAAAGTATTATCCTGTGGTATTGGATTTATGCGAGGCATTTTACTACTGTTGAATATATTTTTTGTATTTATTGGTCTTGGTCTTATTGGGCTTGGTGTTTATGTCAAAGTTGACAATAAACTTTCAGCAGTCTTAAGTAAATTTACTGAGGTAAGCAGTTTCGAAGGACAATCACTGGGATTTCTAGCATTCGTTCTAATTGGTGGCGGTATTTTTACACTTATAATAGCAGTATCCGGCTATTTCGGTAGGTATCTCAATAAACGTATTAATTGTAATTTAAATTTATTCTATATATGTATATAGGATCTTTATGGCACAATCGATGTTTATTATATTTGTATGCTACCATTCTTGGTATTCTGATGATTATTGAATTAGTTGGTTTTATCTTAGCATTTGCATATAAGAGCAAACTTGAAGATGTATACAGTAAAAGTTTAACAAAAGTCTTTACTAATGCTCTAATCGTCGACGATACAAAAGTATTGAATGCTTTTCATGATATGGAGAAGTCATTGGCATGTTGCGGTGTAAATGGCAAAACGGATTATGATAACAGTGGAAAACTTGCACCCGATAGCTGTGTTAAATATCCAACAGGCTGCTCTACTATTATTATTAACACTCTTGAAAAAAATTTACCAATCATTGGAGGTAGTTTAGGTGCTGTTTTATTCTTGGAACTATTAGGTTTCATTGGTGCAATTGCATTAGCTGTAGCGCTCAGACATGCATCTGACGGCACTTACTCATCAAATGCTAGAGAAGTTATTTCTTATGTTGTACCAGGTAGACGTCGTAATTACAATAAAGTTTCATAAATGAGAAAAGAAAACTGAAAAATCTAAACAAAAATGTTGATATATATTATTTTTTGCTTCAGAACTATTTTTTCCTATGTATTTCTCAATATAATTGTAAGATAAATAAATAATAAAAAATAAAAATAACATAATGAAAATCAAGTAAACAATAGAATATATTATCATTAAATTCGATGAGTAGACACCAACAAAGTCATGACAAATATCGAATAGATTACGAATAATAACAAAACATATATTTAATGTGTTTAATTTAGTATGATAACAATTGGGAAGAAAAACAAAACTAGGACGGATCGTATATATTGAGAAAGAAACAAAAATATGTGAATATTGCTATGTTTTGATATAATCACTATTTTTGACGTTTTTCTATACCTTCTTTCAATTGTCGATAGAGTACATAACGATCTTTACCAATCACCGAGCTCTAAAATAATATAGAAATCAATAAACAGATACTAAAATAATCTATGATGGATAAGCATTCGCACAAATGTCGAGGCTCGCTGAATTCAGAGGGAAAATGCTAGAAGCTTCATTTTTTCACTTACGAATAGAGCAAATTAAGAACTTTGCAATGCATATTCAGAATAATATTTAAAATCTAGTTTAATACATGTTTTTAAATGCACAAAAAATGGCATGATATCAAAGTAAATATTTTCGTGCTTTTTCTCCTTTTAATTTGTATTATGTTAACTAAAACAGGAGATATGAAGTTCAATCTTGGAAAAAGAACTCGATGAAACCTTGGTTGTCTGAACATCGATTTTCTATTTTTCTGCATATCCAAAATAGTTAGCAATTAGTGTTAAAAGTAAAGCCAGTAGATTCCATGGTTTTTGACGAAAGCTTTAAAAATTTGTACGAAGATCAACTTTTAAAGATGTCCAACGATTTTCGCTGTACTCCTACTCGACAAAGTCCTTACTCGTCCAGTTCTGACATTTGTGCGAAAACTTATACATCGTCGGTTAGTTAAATCTATACCGTATATAAATCAAGTCCATTCATATCCGATCGTAAATTAGTAACAGGATTGCGAAAAACAAGACGACATACAACTGGCATTTCATGCCCATCTGCAGATGATTCATTCTGTAAGACAAAAAAAAACGAATTGTGTTTTTTAAACATTGATTATAAGATAAAATTAGAAGTCTTCATTTATCTTCTTACCATTGGAGGTAGATACATTCCAAAACTAAAACTATATTCCTTAAGATCATCAACAAAAGCTAAAACAAATAAACTTTAATTGTTATTCTAAAGTAATTTCTTATTTTACTTCGTAAAACAAGATGTAATGCTTTATAAAAATTTTTATTTAGTTTTTCGTCCATAATCATTATTTCAAGGTCTTTTATGGGTGTCTAAAAAAAGAGAAAAAACTTTTTTCATTCAAAATAAAAGATAAAACAAATAAAAATAACGAACAAGATGAACAATAATATGTGCATTTCCAATTTGTATTGTTAAACCTAATACTTGATGAATATAAAGATAATCATTAAAATAATTTCTTCCATTATTTCTTTGTGCATAAAAACGAGCACCTTGTCTTGTTCGTTCAATATTTCCATAATAAATATCAAAACCTAAACTAGCTTGTAGATGTGTATGCATTTGTGAAGCACCACTTTTAGGCATTGCATCCCATATCATTTCAGGACATGTATACATTGGTTCTATCGAATAAGCTTTATGCAGCCATTCTAGTGCTAATTCAAACATATCAGCTATTTCAGCTTCTATTAAATGTAATGTATCATGATTACGTGATACGACAAGTGTATGCCAACGATCATATTTAAATGTATTAGCAGCTGTATATGAAAGACGATGTTCAAGACGTCCAAATTTATCTTCAGCTGTGGAACTGAAACAATAAAGTAGAAATTATTTTTATGATACATTGTTGATGCCCATTTCTCATAAACGTATGAAAAGAATATCGAATTCGTTGTATTTATTTGAATTTATCAATTGATAGTATATAATGCATTTTAACTGTATCAAAAGAGAGCCATAGTTTTGAAGAGTTAACCTTCAACCTTATCTGATCTTCAGTCCTAAGTCTCGCTTCGACCCTCACATTCAGCTAAGTACCTAACTTCAGCCTAGTTTCTCTCGTTTGAAGATAACATATATGACGGGGTTTACAGAAAAATACCAATTAGTTCGAAAAAAATAAATCTCAAAAATAATAACAGCTAGCAAGAATCCGAATAAAAAGCATTTGCATAACTGAAAAAATTCTCTATTAAGATCGGCAGACTCGAACGCTTGAAGGAAATTGCTTTGATGAGAATCTTCGGAAAACCAAGATCTCGAAAACCAACTCTCGGGCTTCCACTCGATGCTTTTGGGAAAAGACTAGATTTGATAGAGCAAATAATTCTTAGCAAGATGATAAATCGTCAACCTTTCCATGACCTTTCTTCATTGAACTGTATTCAATTCACAGACGGTTCAAGAAGTCATTTTTTTTCTTTTTATTGAAAATTTTTATATTTTTATCATGTTGAACACTGAGGCCTGCTGTAAACTCGATGCAATTTGATGAAGAAAAATCATGGAGAGATCAGAGATGTCTCAATTTTCTCAGAACGATTTGCTCTATCAAGCAAAATATTTTCCCGAAAGCTTCGAATGAAAGCCAGAAAGCTGATTTTGAAGTACCACAGTTTTCTACATACCCTCATGCAAACAGTATTGTTGGCGTTTTCAGACCTACCAATCCAAATAGAAAATCCTTTTAGCTACACAAGTGTTTTTTTTTCAGATTCTTACCAGATATTATCATTGAGAAGAAAACGTAGAAATATCACTGTTTTAAACTGATGTGCGCCACTATATGTTTGGATGAATTATTGAGCAACATTCATCAAATTCACTAACATCAAAATCGAAATCATAATATAAGCCTTTATGAAACAAAGCAAAATTTTGTATTTTATGGTGATCTTTTTGGATTCATCAATATTCAAATGAAGGAAGCTAAACAACACAGAGAATGACCTCTAGTTACTTCAAAACTAGTAAAGAATCTTATATTCTTAAATCTTTTTTCATTTCTTAGTTAAGCATATGATATCTTCGATAGACAAACATCTCACAGTATTGAACATTTTTCAACAGTTCAAATGGTGTTCATTTAAGAGAGTTTTTACTATATAGTGCAAAAATTCGTCTTCTGTATGTCAATACAATCATACATTACGATACTAAGACGAGACAAACATTGAAATTTACTAACAAAAATAATAAAGATGAACCGAATTTTCTGATTTACAATAGAACAATTCTATCATGTTTTAAATTTTGTTAAAAAAGAATAATCTTACTTGAGATAATTTTTTCCACAAAAATCACAATTTTTTTTGCTATCTTCAAGTAATTTTGATGTACTAAAATGACAGAAAAAGATAATAAATAAATATTTACTTCTTTTAATAACAAATTTAAAGGAATAATCAAATGCATAATAAGTATAATAGCATGCAATAAGCACTCATATTTCAAACAATCAGGGAAATCATACTATTCTTCAGGTGATATTTCATTCTTAGTTTGTGGTCGTTGACTACGCATATAATTATATAGCATTTCTTCATGTGTATATCGATTGTATATTTTAATAATGCGCTTTGAAAAAAATAGATCACATATTTTTTTTTAAATTTCGCAGTATATTTTATAAAATAATTCTTTTTTTGTCTCTAATTGTCTTCAGATATAAATTACCTGTTTTTTTATTTGTTCAATAAGTGTTGCATCATTATGTAACCATTGATTTACTTTATTTAAATAAACAGGTGATAACTTTAATAAACCATAAATTTCTTCAAGACGAAATAAAGCATTAAATGTTGTTGCAAATTGTCTAAGAAAAAAATAAATAAAAATAAGTTTTTTCTTTTTAAATAGAACAAAATTTAGCTTTGTCAAAACAAAACTAACCGACAAATTTTATTTGTTGACGAACGTGCATTATTTAAATATTGAGAAAGATTTTCTACAACAAGTTTTTCTGTTAATTTGCTTTTTAAACAATGTTTTTGATACCAAAGCTAAATAAAATAAAATAATTTATTTTAGAATGCATTTAATTAAAATACAAACCGATGAATATTCATTTGATACAATTTTAAATTTTTCACTTTTTAATAATATCGGAATTTCTATTGGTGTGGATGGTTCAATTTTATAATGAAATCGATAAAATAAAATAATAAGAAAAAAAAGAAACAATAATATTGACGTGTTTCGTATTGTATGCATTATATGTTAATAATTTGCTTATATGATTTAAAATCCATCGAAATATGATACGACAAAGGGTAAACTTGATAAACTAAAATTTAAAGATAAATTAAAATTAATTATTGAAAATTTAAAATGCAAAATAACGATTATTTAACAGAAAATAAAGAAAACTATAATTTGTATAAATAGGAAAGAATAAAGTATTTTTTCATATATTTATCAAATTTGTACCGTGTTTATTTCAATTCATGAATTGATAATTTCATGGTTACACTTTTTTCTTATTAATTTAACGAAAGAACAAGAACGATAGTCATGCGAAGAGAGACTTTAGAAAAAAAATTTGAAGAAAAAAGTAAGTCTTTACCTTTTGGGTATCATCAGTGGATTCAATTGTAGCATCTTAATATTCATCTAAAATCATAAAATTGATTTTACATCTATGAAAAATAATCATGTTATAAAATCAGATACTTCAGGTACCTTTTCTTTTACTTTTAATATAATTGATTTATCTATTAACGGTTATCCTAATAAACAACTTAACCAATGTGTAATTATATATCTAAGAAGCGACCTCAAGTTTTGAATAGTCATATGAATAACCAATTGATAATTGTTCCGTTTTTATCGTTTTCTTAATGATTCATTCGTTCCTTTTTTGGTATATCTGATAAACAGAACAGAGATAAAATGCGGTCAACAGAATGACCGGTAAGGAAAACTGGATAGTATAACATGAATCATTCTCTCTCTCTTTTTTTCTCTCTCTATATATATACATATATATTTACATCTACAGTACTATTGATTTTAGCATCGTATACCACAATCAACTGTGTTTTTGTCTGTACTGCACTTATCTGTACCATAACTTCCCTTGTCTCTCTCTGTCTTTCCTTTCTTATTTTTGTCAGGTTATTTAGGCGACAGAGAAAAATATAAGACATATGTCTGTAGTTTTGAGTGGGTGTTACTCTTCACTGGATAAATGTATTTCTTTTCGTGCTTATGCTTTTTTTTTCTATCCTTGCTAGAGTTTAGTTTCCCTTCTTGTGCGGGTTTTGTTAGTAATTGCGCATTCTATGACATAATGCATGTATTACTATTTCTAGAGATTAGCTCGACGAAGATAACATTGTCTTCTCTATGTAATACTTGTTTTTTTTCCTTTACCAAGTGTAGAATAATAATAATATTGATAAATTTACTAAATTTTAGTATTTCATTTGATTGAAAATTGTTTTTTGATTTGTTCATTTAGATATGGCTTCACATACGAATGATAACTTTCCTATTTTACAAGACTATAAGGCTATTATTAATGGTACATTAGCATCATTTGTGACACTTTCACGTAAAATAGGTGGTGAATTACCAACAATGATTGATCATGTTACGCGTGTATTTGATGTTCAACAAAAGTTTATTCAAAAAGCAATACAAAGTAAAAAACCGACAAATGATCAAGAAATACAAGAATTGGTTAAACCACAATCAACAGAAATTGAAACAATTTGTGGTAAAGAAAAATCTTTTCAAAATTCTATTCTTATGAAAAATAAAATTTTCATTTATTTTTAGCTTATACAAATATGAATCGTAAATCACCATTATTTAATCATTTATCAGCTATATCGGAGGGTATTCCAGCATTGGGTTGGATTCTTGTTTCACCAACACCTGCTCCATATATCAAAGAAATGTCTGATGCTGCGCAATTTTATGCTAATCGAGTTTTAAAAGAATTTAAAGAAAAGGATCCTAACCATGTTGAATGGGTTAAACAATGGATGAAAGTTTTAAGTGAATTACATGCTTATGTTAAACAATATCATACAACAGGTTTAACTTGGGGTGTTCATGGTCAACAAGGTTCAGGTGCTGCTGCTGCTACAGTTCCCACTAGTAAAAGTGGTGGTGCGGCTCCACCACCTCCACCGCCACCACCTCCTCCACCATCATCATCGTTATCATCATCAGCTCACAGTCATGATGGCCAATCACGAACTGAACTCATGAATTCAATTAATGCTTTAGGAGCAGATGTGACATCTCATTTAAAAAAAGTACCTGACGATCTTAAACTTCATAAAAATCTTCAATTAAGAGATCCAGCAGCAAATCAATCAGCCGCACGATCAAATGTATCAACTAAGCCTCAAGTAGGTATTATATGTTTTATTCTTAGGATTGCAACAAAGATTCAACATTTCGAGATGAAATTTCTTTTTTTTGTTTGTTTGTTTGGATTGGAAGATTTGATAATTTTTAAATCTATTGTTTAATTATTGAGCAAGTGTTATTACTAATAAAAGAAATTGTATTTGTCACTAACATAACATTAATTGTGTTCATCGTTCAATTTATATGTGTTTTAGGAAACTGTTTCACATACTTCATCAACATTAACTTCTGGTCCACCTAAACTAGCACTTGAAGGTAATAAATGGGTTGTTGAATTTCATTCAGGTCGACAAGATCTTAAAATCACTGAAACAAATATGAAGCATACAGTTTATGTTTATAAATGTTCCAATTCAACATTAACAGTTCAAGGTAAAGTTAATTCAATTGTACTTGACCAATGTACTAAAGTTGGTATTCAATTTACATCTGCTGTATCATTGGTTGAATTTATTAACTGTCGTGGAATGAAAGTACAAGTATTAGATCATGTGCCAACAATTCAAATTGAGAAAACAGATGGTTGTCATGTATACTTATCTAAAACTTCACTTGATACACAATTTATAACATCGAAATCATCTGAAATGACAATTAATGTTCCATTTGGTGATGGTGAATATAAAGAACATCCAATACCAGAACAATTTAAAACACATATAAAAGGTGGTAAAGAACTTGTTACTGTACCCAATGAATCAGCTGGTGTTTAAAACAAAAGTTTCAGTGCAATTTTTTTTTTCTTTTATCACAATTATTTGAATGTTTCTGCTCTACTATTTATTTATACATGCTAGTCGCTATGGGTTGTATTTTATTTATCTCTCGCATTCTCAGTTCTTTTTAATAACCTTAACATAATGTTAAAAAGAAATGTTTGTTGCTTGTTTTTTGCCTTCGCTTAGCATTGCAATCGTTTTAAAAATAAAACAAAAAATCTGAACAAAGTTTTAGAAAATCTATATTCATGTTAAAATATCTTTTTGAGACAGAGAATCGATCTTACTTCACTGTTTTCAACCTGGTTTTGTTGAGTAGTCTTGTTTTATCCTGTCAAAATGTACAAAGGTATTCATTTGAATTGTTAATGGTTTTGATTTGCATAGTCTATCATGAAGTGTAGTTCAATCGAAAGAAAAACACAAATAAAACAATACCACATCAATTTGGAATTTATTCATTCGATAAGTGATGCTAAAATTTGCCATCATAAATCTTTATAATCCACAAAAATCTAAACTATGTCAAACTAGATTACTTTATTAATGAGTTTTTGCATTCTTTAATAACAAAGAAAAAAGAAACCTTAGGAACAAAACCAATAGATGAGATATTCAAATATATCTGAAAAGATCTTTGTATATTATCTGTGGATTAAATGCAACCAGCAATCATCAACAATACAAGTAACGCTTGTCTTTAAGGTTCGTTTGGTCCTCCACTCAATGTTCAACACTTTCTAATCATTTTGATCCTGTCAGAGAAATGTAGCATATAAAACATTTATTTGCTAACATTTTCTATCTCACATTTCTCCAAATCGGAATTGAATCTACCATGTTAATTTAATGAGAAAAAATGCTTTCCTTTAATTCGTTTACATCCTTTTAAACGCTACCCACACTCTCCATATTTTTTTTTAATATAGTCAATGAAGTGAAAACAAGAGCGATCACTAGAAATTATCGATATCGTTTGCAATCATATTGATCTGAAAAATAATACTTTATTTGAACGTCAACATTTATTAATCTTTCAAATAAGAAGAATAATGATCAAAATAAAGAAAAAAAAAACGCTACTTCACTGTACTGTATAGAATCACTGAAGGAAGCTGTCCTATTTAAGTCTTCGCTGAGCATTTAGGATTTGATAAAAATTTTGGACATATGAAGAGAAACAACAGATAAATTCATGATTAACTTGCAATATATATTTCTGGTTTCTTCAATTACGAATCGAGCAACAAATAATTTAACCTAGTTCAACCATAGAACCTGCTACAAATATCGTTGCTATCGAAAATATCAATACATTCATAATACGGAGTACGATAATGAATCAAAAAAATTTTCATCCAGATTATAAATAAATGTAAGAATAACGAAATTTAGACTGCGAGTTAGTTTATAATTCAACATTCAATATGTGGATCAATCCGAATAATTCGACCGGAACTCGTAAGGCCATCAGACAAATACATTACATAGTTATCGGTAACAATTGTATCCATGATCAATCCACTCCCTAAACTAAAATTTCCAATCCAAGATCCTAAACTATTAAATATTTGAATGACAGATGTCTCTAATGAAAACCAATATCGACCACATTCATCAATTGTCACGGAAGTTCCGCCACTAATATTTTGAATTGTACTTGCATCAATAATACGTGTTTCAATCCACGATGTGTTATTTTCAGCAGCACTATAAGAATAAACTGAATTGTTTGTCCATGATGTTGCATAGAAGTAACTATTATTATAACCAGTTAATCCATATACTCCCGGATAATATACTAATTGTTGATAAGCGAATGTATAGTCTGACGATGCATTATCTGTTTTACGAAAAAAAAACGATGGTTTGGTCGCTATTGGCGGAAACTACCATTGTGTATCCATCATCAAGAAAAGTGATACCACGTATTCCTTGAATATAAGGTGAATTGATGAAGTTGGGAACTGTCAAAGATTCATTTATAAAAGCTACAATAGGACCATTTGTAAGTCCAATAAAATAAGTATTGTTTATAAATGCTACAGTCATTGCGTTCGAGCCAGGTATTACAGTCCGACTAATCCTTGTCAAATTATATGGATCGAATCGATCAAGTTTCGGAGGTTGCATTTCAACTGTAACCAGATAACCGTTATTGTCAAGTAGAATGTTTCGAGGACTTGTTACATTTACATATGTCCATGTTCCATTTTTGAGTTTATCTAATAAATACCCTAGATTAGGCATACAACATTGAGTAGCATTTGGAAAGATTTTTTGAGGAAAATAAAGACGAGCTTGTGGTGTTGATATAATTTTATAACTAATAGGAAAAGTGTAAAACAATTGACATGTATTGTTTGGAAAATAATTGAGAGCAACAAAAATGGATGTAGCTATACAAAGGCATTGTTCACATGTTTTATTTGTGATTGTTGTACTATTCCAATTATATTTAGGAATAAGAGTAACATTTTGAATAAAGGGAATCTGAATACAACTGATAGAAGCAATTGAAAATAGTAAGATGGAATATAGGAAAGAAAACATGACTATTTTTTATCAATATATCGAAATGTAAATCGCCTAATGTTTCAATTTTATAAATTTATATATTACGATTAGCAATTGTAGACGACAATCAGACAAAATAAAGCGAATACATATATAAATGTTGATAATGAGAGATGTGTTTATGAAAATTTATTCGCCACGCATAATATTAACTATTTATAGAGGAGTAAAAAAATTGTTTTAATACTTCTTTGCTTCTTTACTATCTATTATCGCTTCATTCATATACTTGAGAAACCGCTCAAAAATGCCATTATCACATTTTTGACATGTAGAATAATAAGTGAAAAAGCAAATTATTTACAAGTGCTTGTCAGTAAATATTTTTTTAAGTTCATTTATTATTACGGGAACTTGCTTGCTTTTAGGCTACTTTTTTTTATTCAAATTCTTGGCAGTAGCTCTTTCTTCGAACACAGTTAAACTTTAACTAAAAGTTGAAAAATATTTTACTGATATGATTGGAAAGCTTTCGTTTTTTATCTTGAAGTATCTAACATTCGACTTACATAACCTAGACAGACAAAATAACAATCAAAATGACGTTTAAACATGACAGTATGTAAACTGCGGAAAATCTTTGATTACTGACCAAAAATGTGTTAATTACAATTTCCGATTAAGTAATTTTTAACACCTATGGTATGCTTACATACTTACAGTTGTTGAAACATTTACTTTTCTGACGTCCTTCTAGTGGCTAATGAAATACTTTTCACGATTTGAATGGTTTGGATGAAAATATCTGTTAACAATTAACACATATTTCATGTAAAATGATAAACTAACTAAATTGAAATGCTTCATATCGATGGCAGACAACCGATTAATGTATGAAAAGGTATAGTCATTCTGAGAGCAAGATTGTTCTCTCAGACCATTTATAATTTTCTCAATCTTTGCTTTTTTCAACAATCGAACTTTTTCTAATTTCGATTGTTCTTTCTAATTTTTTTTACACTTTAAATGTTTTAACATGTTGACAAATTTAAATATTAATTTCTCTTATTTTTCGAACTGCTAAGTTGCAGGTTTCTCAAATGCAATTAACAATACATGAATAGATAACAGTATAGCAATGAAATCCATCTGTTAGAAGGGTTCTTGTCTAATTTTTCGTTATATGAAAAACTCAATTTTCGTATTTGAATTAATTAGTGTATGAAACTATTGAGTCAAGGAGTTATAAATACTACGATTTATTGAAGGATTAATGATAGAGAATGACAGATCATAAAATCGTCACGATCTTTTAGTAACTGTATATGGTTGTCTAGCTATGTTAGGCATTAGAATAAGGAAATAGCTAGTAAGAATAAAGAAGAGAATAAAAAGGAGAGAAGAGATCAAACTATCGTTTATTTATCGGCCATACGATTACGTTCATCACTCCCTTCTTACGTAATCCTTATGGCCGACTACTCTTCCTGTTCTCTTCCTCGTCAAACAATAAATCGATGAACGGAAACACTAAATAACAAGCATAATAATATGAATAAATATGAAACAGATTTTCTCTTGTATCAGGAAATAAATGATACGGAAAAATAAAAATATTTACATATACATCATTAAATGATATATAACATTATTATTTTTTCTTAATAGTTAAGAATTTGAAGGAAAGTGAATAGCAAAGAAGAAAAACAACTTTATATTAAAGATTTAACTATATTCGATATAAAAAAAAATATGTTAACGAACGATAGAATACGAGACATTTATTACATAAAAACAGAAAAAAATGGCAAAGCGAGACAACAATCTCTCACGGACCAATAATATACATATTGTATATTAGGTGGTGTTAAAAGCCGTTTTTAATTATCCGCGTTCTTTATTATTAAAATAAAATAAAAATAGATATAATTGACTTCAATAACTGAATTTCTTAAAATCGCTGTATCTGATATAGTAGAAAAAGCATTAGTATATAAGTGACATATTTGCATAATAATGGACAATTCATGTAAGAAAGTTTTCTTCGAAATATTATCATAAACAAATTGGCAGCATCAGTATATTTTGCTAGTTTGATTTTATCTCCATAAGTCAATATCATAATTGACTCAGAAAAAAACATTTCTCATAGATTTGTTTAAATTAAAGTTGATTATCTTTTGGAAATGTGTAGTTATCACTATTCTAATAAAATTATTGCTTGTATTTTCCAATCAAGTAACGAGATATATAAAGACCTTCATATGAATTGACTTAACCAAATGATTGCGATAGTAATTATGATGACGTACATACAATCAATTAGTTTCTAGGAAATTGTTTTCCAATTATATTTTTTATTACAGAAAGCTATTACCTTAATTATCGTACTCGATTCAAAGGTGAAAATTTAATTTGGTTGATTAATTTTTGTTGAATATGGTTGATTAGAGAATATTAAACTGAATATTCTTAGACAAGAAAAAAGACGATAAATATGATATTAAACAGTGCTTAAAACATCAATTGTATAAGATTGTATCATCAATTTTTTACAGTCATATTATTCTATAATTGCAACAGCGACTACGTCATTTTCAGATGCTCTGTTTAAATGATAATTTAATTTATATAGTGGACGCTATTTTACGTATTTAGTAAATGCTCAATTTCTCCTCTAGCATTAATAAGCAATGTTTTTCTGTTTTTTTTTGTTGTATCAAAAATATAATACCTAAATTCGATCATTGTTGTATTTGTTTTTTGTTTATCAAAGAAATAAAGAATAATGCTGATAAACAATATGTTTGTTTTCTTATAAGTTTCAGTGTCATCGACCCTTTGACAAAGGACAATATATAGTGACTATTTCTTTTTTGTTTTTCATCTATTGAAAGTATAAGAAAAAATAAATAATACAAAAGTTCATCACTTTATTCTTTGATCAAATTAAATAGCAATATTTTGATATTTACAAACAGATTTTCAAAATGCGTTTTTTTTCTTCTTTCAGTCAACAATAGATTTAATAAATGAATGAAAACATGTTGAATGAATAATATATAGATAATAATCTTAATCTAAATAAACTGTGTATTATGCATACTTTATCATTTGATCCAAATGAGTTTTAATTTTTATTTACTGAACAAGATAACGAAATATTTATGATTTTTGTTTTTTATTGTAATTGATAGAATAAAAAGTTTGATTATTATTAAATATATATGCAAATCATTTATTCATTTCTTCTAAAACTCGATCTACTATAGTATATAAAGAGAATTATCATCAGTATAGTATTTTAATATATTCTTAGCGTAGAAGTGTTATTGAAAAACAAGACGCTTCATATTTCATTTTATATAATGACTATATCAATGATTATTTGTAATGGCAGAAAAAAGAAAAATACAAAAGTAAGCTTCATAGTTAAATCATAGAAGTTTTCAATTTCTATTATGATTAACCCTAGAAGAAGCCTTTTAATAACAAAGAAAAAAAGTAAACTCTGGTTTCACTTTATTTATCAATTCGAATGGCATCGCTGCTAATGACAACAGATTTGTATCGTCTATTATAGAAAATTTCAAAGGTTTCTCCTTTGACCTTTGAAGTATATAATAAAACAACTGATTAATACAACATGAAGAAAAAGAAAAGGATAGTCTGTTTTTTGTTTCGAGTTCATTATTTTTTTGATTATATTATACGGAAAATTAAACATAAAAATTCTGCATATGTTTATGATTAAGCTTTTTTTCTAAATGTTTTTTTTTCTATTCGTATCATTTCGTTAACAAGAGAAACAATGGTTTGATTAAAATTATCTATTCTTGACAAATTATTATTGAAAAGAAAAACATGTTTTATTCTGTTATATTTTCTAGTTGAAATAGAAGTATTTTTCACAACGACACGTGTCGAAGACGAAAGAAAAGTAAATAATAAGAATGGACAAATAGAAATCGATAGACTAATGACAATGGTCAGTCAGAAAATACTTATATGTATGATTATATATTTATAGATACATTGTAAGAAAGAATTACGACATAACAGACGTATGCACACATCGAGTGAAACTGACTGAGTGTTTTCAAATAATATCAGTCTTTATTTGAATTAAATCAAACATGTCGAATAATGAATCATGTATATTACCCACGTCTATAGAAGATATTGATGCTACAAACACTCGTCGAGTAACATTAACTCGTACTGGTGTTGCTGCTCTATTTGCTCAATCATCTTATGATACTGGTGAAAAAATATCGACGACGAATTTGACACGTCCTGCTCGTGAATATCGGCCTCCACCAGTCACTCGTTCATGGTTAACAGCTACTTCTACAACATCGAATAATACAACTACTAGTTCATTTCGTTCTACAGGTCCAACAGTAGCAGCACAACGATCATCTTTATTTCGATATGTCATTCAACGTTCATCATCATTTGCTACAACTGCTGTTTCACAAGTTATGTCAAATACTCGTCGTCATACATTAAAACAAATACGTTCAATCTGTAATCAACATGATAAAGTTTCATCAATTGATACTGATGTTGAACCAGTTGCATCAATAACCGATTGTTTAGAAGCACCATCAATTGCTGCCGTACAAATTTGTCGTTCAATATCGATGCCTAATACATCTGATAAATATCGTCCACATTACAAACCACAACATTTATTGGTTAATAGTGGTGGAAAACCTATGTAAATTATTTATTTTCTCTTCTTTATATGGCAATATAATATGAACTGATATGTGTTTTTTTTTCTGCTTAACTTATTTTTCTGGTTTTTTTCTTTTGTCTTGTTATTATAAATAATTGAACTTTAAAAATAAAACAATATATGTTTATTTATGCATAAATTATATATATATATATATATAAACAAAAATAAATCAAAGAATATGAAATGATATATGGATTACGAGTATATAAGTTTTTTTTCTAAATCTTTTATGTTAAACTCATAAGGAAATCGTCAGCGGAAGTTTTTTGGACAAAGACGTATCATCTATATTCAATCAAATTTTAATTCGATAAAACACAATTATATTTCTCTCTAAAACTTTTGTATATTAATTGAAACTTTAATCTAAACCTACTTGAAATCAATTTTATGTTAACTTGTATGATATTTTCATATAAAAATTCATGCTGGCATTTTATTTTGCTCGCCTAATAGCATATAAAAAATAACAAAAAAAAAGAAAGAGTAATAATAATATTGCTTGAATAGAAATTACTGATCATTCCTCATAACAATAGAGAATGATCAAGAAAACACACCAAAACAAATTAACCTCATACAATAATCTCATTCGGTAAATCTCTTTTACGGAATAACAAATAAAAATGTAAGAATCTATTTATTCAGGATCTCATATAGACACGTACAAGGCCATCACGACAAATTGAACAACCTCTATTATTCAATACTTTCACATTAGGAATAGCATTATCTGCATCTGTAAAATGTTGAACATGTGACTGTGATGCATCTGCCATTGATTTTAATTCTTCTTTATTATATTCCAAACAACTGCCATCACTTGTTGTTGTTAATATACCCTGATGGTCACGACTAAAAGTAATACATGTTATTTTTTCTCGTTGTTCTTTCCATGCATGAATAGGTATAACATTTAATTGTCGTACATCATAAATGTCAATCTTTGATTATTCATTACTATAAGTTGATTTAATTAGAGTCTATGGGCTTTTTGATTTCAAACTGAATTTTTAATAAAACAAAACAAATCCCTTTTTTCTCACCACAGGGAGTTAGAAGAGCTAAAAAGAAAGCTCGTCTCTCAACACAAACTATAGACACTATCCATTTCAGCAATATCATGCGACTTGCGATGCCTTTTAAAAGAATCAATTGCAAAATGACGAAAACTTGATCTCCGACTTCCGCACACATACGCAACAACTGAAACTATGCATTACATAGATCGTATAAATATTCAAGCTGACGCACATACGTGACACTAGGGATGTGCAGTTTCAGTTTACTGATCACTGACGTCACCGACACTGACGTTCAGTGAACACCGACGACCCCAGTGTCACTGATCAATGAAACTGAGATAGCACTGACACTGACGTTCACTGGAACACCGACGTAACGTACACCAGCGTGCACTGAAGCACTGAGATACTCAGTGACACTGATACCATCAGGCACTCAGTGTTTCACTGACAGTGTTCAGTGCAACACTGACACACCGATGGTACCCTTCATTAACTGTCATTAATACAGGGAGTAGCATGACATCTGTTGGGTAGTATATCGTAATACACAGAATGTTTCCATTGAATGAGAACATAACAGCTGACTTTGTTCAGTATTGGTCTCTGTTAGTGAATAAGCAAGGTATTCTAAAATAATTGAGATCAGAATTGAGCTATTCAGCTGAGAAAAAGATCAACACATTTCAATTGATTAATTGAGTGAGTTGAAGTGAAAACATGTTGTGGCATTAACGGATTTCGAGTTGAGATTAATTGACAAAACATTGTAGAACTAACAATGTGTAAAATAATTATTCGGATACTATGATACACTTCTCGCAAAGAAAATTTCACAATGAAGAAAGAATATTTTTCTAACATTGATTATACCATTCGATAGAACGAAGTCTCTACTTTATTTCACAGAAAAAAATTTCTTCCAGAGAAGCTTTCCAAAAAATTTTGCAAAACTTTTTCAAAACTTTTGTAGAAGAAATCTTTTTTGTGTGAAATAAAGTAGAAACTTCGATCTATCCAATGGTACAGCCAAAGTCAGAAAAATATTTTTTTTTCGTTGTGAAACTTCCTTCACGAGAAATGCACCACAGAGTGTCCGAATAATTATTTTACACACCATATACAAGTTGAATTGAATTAAATTCGTTCATTTTTTTTTTGTCAGAATTGTCTATCGTTGAAATCTCAAATATGCTCGATCGTGTCAGTCATTTCTTATTCCCAGGGTGTGGGTGGAGTGTGGGTGTGGATGTGGGTGTGGGTGGGTGTGGGTGTGGGTTTGGGTGGCTGGGTGTGGGTGTGGGTGTAGGTGTGGGTGTGAATGTTGGTATGAGGAGAAAAACGATTCCCACACCCACACCCTAATACAAATAAAAAAAATTTTCATTTTAACAGAAGTTAAAAACAAATTTAAGCATTGAACGAATCCACAATAATATGTGACATGTGCAAATAAGAAAAAAAAATCTAAAATAAAATGCATGAAACACATATGTATGTTGCTCCATCTCTCCTTGCTCTCTCTGTATTGATCCAATGGAAGAAACCAATGAAAAAATTTTCTTTCCTCTCGATATCTACTTGATGACTAATAGGTGGACGAGAATCTCGATACTGAGAAAATTCGTTCGTATCTTGCTTCGCGTTCTCTCTCCTTTGAATAGATCTTACTCACCAATGATTTCTTTTTCTCTTCCTTCACGTGTGCATGTTTGAAACATGAAAATCAGGAAGGATAAATAAAATGATGTCGCTATCTTACTGATATTGTTGTGGCTTAATATATGAAAGAAAGAAATATGAAAAAAACAAAATATTAGTGACCATTACAAATGGAGTATAGATGCAAGACTTTCTGATAAAAGAAAATAATATTATACACATTTTTTCGCGTATTGTTTCTAATCTAGTAAAAAAGAAACGATATTGTTTAATGGATTCTCGATAGATATAAAGATTTGCCCTTTCGAAGGGGATCCAAATGTTGAATCGAGCTGAAAAGATGTTCGTTCGATAGATCGCGACGAGTTCTATCTTGGTATACCGTTATTAGATATTGGTATAACCTACAGGCGAATCCAGGTACGAAATACGTGGAAAATCCGGATTCTGACCGGGATTTGCCTTTTAGGGAAGGATCTAAAGGTGGAATCGAGTCAAAAAGGTGTCCATTCGATAGAACTCGACGAGTTCTACCTTGGTATACCATTATCAAATTTTGGTATAACCTACAGGCGAATCCAGGTGCGGTTTACAAAAAATGCTTGTTTTTTTCGTTAGTTTTTTGAACTTTTTTCCAAGAAGGGAGGGGGTTGGGATAAAAGTAAATAGTGGAATCGATAGAATTCGTCAAGATCTATCTTGGTATACCATTGGCAGGTTTTGGTATAACCTACAGACGAATCCAGTTACGGAATACTCGAATCCAGCTCCAAGATATCCTACGTATCATACCGATGATATCATCAATACAAGAAACATGATTCGATCTTTTTATTGGTGTCAGAAGGAAACAATATCATTATTGATAAATTAATTGAGATGTATAAAAGTATTGGAAGAATGGCTGATGCATATTAAGTGCATTATTGTAAGACTCGTATTTATGAAATAATTGATGATGAAAAAATTTCAAATGAAAAAAAAAACAAAAAAAAATGGTTATTATCGAGTATATAGCAACACTAATAAAAAAAATCGGGCGCGCTCAAACGAGAAAGATAGTCGCATTTTTTTTTGTTTTCAGTTTACAGATGACATATTAGGATAACAAGTCTAAAGGGCATACGTGAGTTCCATATTTCAGCTCCTTTGGAGCTGCGCTAACTAGCTTTTTTGAATGCTTTGGCAAAAAGGACGGGCATATATAATATATAAAAACAACGAAAGAAAATGGCGCTTTAATAGAAGATATTTAGATAGAAAGGCAACACTTATGCATCAAGACCAGAGGTAGATATGATTTATTTCTATGAAGCCGTTTTCATTATCTAAAACTCGAGATTCTTCAAAGTCACGTCATTTTCAGGAAAGGCGGCTCATCTTGAGGGTGAGGTCATAATTAGAAGTCAAAGTATAATATGTGAATAATATGACATAGTCGGTGTTCCAGTGTTCCACTGAACACTGTCA